GGCTATTTTTATTTTATTTTTTTGAAAAAAAAAAAAAAGCTTATTTATCTACAAAGTTACAGTAATGCAGACTTTGCGTTTTTTTTTTGTTTTTTTTTTTTGTGCGGCTAGTTGTGAAAACTGCTACAGGCTTATTTTTTCCCCCAGCTTTTTATTTCCGTGGGGAAAATCTAATGCGGGAGGTAAGGAAATACAAAGTCAAACAAGAGGCTGTAATGTTATCAGAGGCCATGAGCCATAACCATGATTATATCTATTTTTCTCTGCCGAGGTGGGGTAACTCGATAGAGGCAATACTTTGCCGGCCATATATGCGCTCATGCACACAGGTGCACATCAAGCATCTGATATTAGACCTGTCAGAGAGAGAGAGAGAGAGAGAGTGAGAGAGAGTGAGAGAGAGTGAGAACAGGAGCGGAGATAGGGCAAACAGACACGGTTACAACATCAACACGGCGATGCAGAAAAGACGGGAAGATGTGGAGAGAGAGAGAGCGAGAGAGAGAGCACTGAATTAATAATGCATCCGCAGTCCTGCATTTATGCATTAAATAAACATGCATCGGTGTGTGTCTATATATGTTACATATGTATGGGTGATGGAAAGAGGATGCAGCATATGCTATTCAACATATATTTTACACAGCCACTCAATTCCACACCTAGCGTACGAGCATCCACAGCAATGTTTTCAACTAACTGGCTCCTGTGTCCTTTTCTATCTGCTGCGTTTGAAAACATGAACCCGATTGGCCATGGGAGTACAGTTGGGAGGGAGGAAGGCTGAGAATTTAAAGTACGAGCGCCAGTGATAGAGATAAAAACACGGCAACATGCTTCGTACATGTGCCTGGACAGATCATAAGAGATGATAAGAGATGTGGATGATCCTTTAATCTGCCCCGACGAGTTTTATGTCGAGCGTTAATGCTACACATAAAAACCAAGTGCAAACTGTAAAATGTGCTTTGAAGCCACTTGACTGCTTCTTACATAATGTAAAAATTGAATTAAAAAATAAAAAGCCGTTGAAGACAAACAATAAAGGTTGATCCATTTTGTTGGAAGAAAAAAAGCCTTAAATTAATAATCCGTTTTTTTTTTAAGCGTTTTTGAAGCCGCTGTTCTGACAGGGCATGGAGAGCAGTACGCTGTATTTCCANNNNTATTGCAGCATTTTCTGGACTATCCTGTCAGGCGTCACGCTGCGATATCTTTTTCCGCTTAATTTGAAACAAAGCTAACGTTGAGGGAAAAACAAAAAACTTGATGGTGCATTTTTAATCTTTGCTTTGTCTGATTCCGACATGTCACTTTGATCATCTTCAAAAACAGAAAACAAATAAGCTCGCCGGGGAGTCACGGTGAACCGAGACAAACATCATTCACACTGTGCTGTTCAAACAGTACAGAGCAGAGAAGATGGGGTCTGATAGATGAGCCGTGTCCAGCGTTACATTCCAACACGATGTGATCAAACACTGCTTTAGGCCTCTGTCATTTATCTTCGCACCAATCCAACCCTCACGTTTGAACACAAATTCTGCACAGTGGTATCTTCAAATATGCTGAGTCATCGGTATTTATTTTTTTACTGTAAACTTGAACCCAACTACTCTTCGCTGAATTGGACCGTGGCCCAGACAAACGTTTACAAAAGGAGTCATCCATTTACGTATGATAAAAAAAAACAGCAGTCGTCAGTAACCAGTGGGATAACAACCTGTGCAGTACCAGCCACGACACATTACATTTATGGGGATAACAACCTGTGCAGTACCAGCCATGACACATTTAGCAGACGCTCGTATCCAAAGCTACTTATAAGGTGAGAATTACCAATCAAGCATGTCGTTCCTTTGGGAATCGAACCCAGGACTCTCTGTTACTGAACACGTGACATAAGACTACATAAAGCATTTACACTTGCACTGAGACAGAGCACTCAAATAATCTAATCTGCATTTAGCATATTTTTAGAGTGTGGGAGGAAGTGTGAAGAGCCAGAGAAATCCTTCGCTCACACAAGGAGAACACACCAGAGAACTGATTCATGTTTGGAGTTTGTCTATACATGATAATCATTTCCCCCCGGGCCATGAACCGACAACCTTTTTGCTGCATGTAAAGAAAACTAACCCTTTCCCCCAGTGCTGTCCTATAGGGATATACAGTAAAAAAAAAAACAGTTTTATCCGTGAGGGAACATCGTTTGTCACTATCTTATTGGTGAACTGTGTGTTCACTGATAGGAGATTTAATCATGACAGAATGCTCGAGGCGATGGCT